ACTATGGCCCCCGGCCGCTGCAGCAATCATGGCCCCCGGCCGCTGCAGCGATCATGGCCCCCGGCCGCTGCAGCGATCATGGCCCCCGGCCGCTGCGCGGCCCGGTGCCAGGTACTCCACGGACCGGGGGTTGGGGATCACTGGCCTAGGTCTCATGGCTAAGTGATTCATCCAGACTGTGTGTTTCTCCGTTTATCAGTTTCAGGGGTAGACATAAAAGCCTTTGGATCTTTTATTCAGCAATTAATCATAGGGTATCAATTCATAAATACAATGTACTGAATCCAGTAAGGTTGGTTTCAAGCAAATACACATAGAGTTATTCATGTAGTGACATTTCTTCATGTAATGATGATGCTAAACATTTCATTGCATAGCACTCTGGCTGCTGATAGAATAAATTAGAAGCTAAATTCTTACTGTATGGTAAGTTATTAAAGCATTCAGCAGTAACTGCCTTACAGTCTTCACAATTAGTCATCTTTATTTTCTATAATAAACAAATTATAGGATGGTTAAAAAAAACAGCACCCTAATTTTTATTTATGCAATACTTAACCCAGAATTTGCATTGTTCTGCCTCCATAAATGTATCCTCCACCTTCAGTTTGGAAGGATATTCAAATATTTTACAATTTCCCTTTATGATTTTGAGGTATACATTGTTTTGGTACCTTGGCAAACCCAGTGTTTTCCATTGTTGTTCATTTGCTGAGCCTGCTGGACTTCTATGGCTTAGTTTACCAAATTGGTGATTAATTGCCCAGAAATGCACAAAAGAATTGAATGGATGGATTCTTCTTGCATTGCAAGGGTGGGTAATGTAGTGTGTGAAATGGTGACCTTCCACTCCAGCTTTCACGTCGCTAGTAATGGATAGCCGGGATGTGAATACTCTCCTTTGAAAGCAGAACTGTTATTTAATAGTAAGTCTTCAAAGGAACATGTATATTCTCCTTCACATAATGTCGCAGGAGGATTAGATCACTTTGATGATTAGATCATTCTTTTGAGATTTGTGGAAGGAACCATGGTATTCTCTTTCAACAATATAGAATTTCTATGTTTTCCTATTTATTTGTGGATACAGGCAAATGCATTGTGGCTCTTTGAATGAAGAATTGTGAATAATCACAGGGCTCAGCTGGGTTGTAGACACACCAAGAATTAAAATGACATCTTCTTTAAAAGTCACAGGAAACTACAACAGTGGAATGGGGAATAAAGAACAGGATTGTATATATGTCTCACAATCCAATCACGCAGCCCAAAGAAACAGAATAACAGAATAGCAAGTCAGAAGGGACCTTAGAGGTCTTCTAGTCCAACCCCCTGCTCAAGCAGGAAACCCTACATCATTTCAAACAAATGGTTGTCCAATCTCTTCCTAAAAATCCTGCAGTAATGGAAGCACCCATAACTTCTTAGGCCAAGCCATTTCATTGATAAAATTCTCCTGTCAAGAAATTTCTCCTCAGTTCTAGATTGGTTCTCTCCATTTTCTGAAAATAAAAATTCTGTCATCGTGGGGGTTTTTGTATGTATTTTTATGAAACTCATTTTTTTATTTTATTTTTTTATTTGTAGTCATAATACTAAAACAACGTCTTGGCTAGACCCAAGGTGCCTGAACAAACAGCAAAAGCCTTTAGAAGAATGTGAAGATGATGGTAAGACAATCAGTGCTTAAATAACATTTGAGAAGTCCACCTTTTCTTATTTTGAAAATCAGCTGTTTACAATTTAGGCTTGATTCTCTGCCTGTAATCAAACTTTAGCTGTTTAGCAAGTCATTGTGCATTAATGACAAGTGATCTAAGAATCGCATGTTGGTCTGTAGTCATCTTCAGCAATTGGGGTGCCCTCAAGAAGTCCTGGGACAAGAGAGTCCCCAGAACATCCCAACATGGCCTGCAGTCTTAACACATCTGCAGAGTACAAATTTGAGTGGGCAATGCTTTTGTAGCTTGTGAAAACCTCTTTAAAAAAAAAAGGCTGGTATGTCTTTAAGAGTTTTAAAAGAAGCATTGGTGACATAATGACATAAGAGAAGGTGCACGGGTGGGATTTTTAGTGCTCTCCTCACTGCCATTTTAATTTTGTTCTGTTTACTACACAGTTTCAGCAGTATGATCATATGGCAAGACTTAGAGGAGTCTGGGGAACTCCATATATATATATATCTATGATTGTTTGCCTGTCCTTGATCTTTATCCAAAGAAATATTCCGCCAGTTCAGTGAAGCTCAGATGTGGGTCGAGGCAAAAGGAATGAGACAAACATACATCCGTAGCAGCTGCACACAAAGCTCTTTGGTTGGGTGTGTCTGTATAGGAAACAATTCTTTTTTGATGGCATGGAAGTGGGGGAATAATATTCACATTTTGTAGGAATTATGAAGCCATACACCCAGCAAACACCCACCCTGGAAACAATTTTGTAAGCAGTAACGATAAAAACGCCACCAGCAAAAAGTAGTAATAAAAAATTGGTACAGGTCATTCCTGATTTACGAATGGTTGCTTAGCAAACATTCAAAGTTATGAGAGACCTCTCTCCCAAAAGCTGCTTACAATCAAACTTACGTTGCCACTTTCTCCCCCATAGTCACATCATCATTTTTGGGGACGGGGGAGGCATCTTGGCAACCAACTTACCTCTACAGCTGTTTGCAGCCTCCCACAGTCATATGACTGCAATCTTCTTGTCGTTTGCCCTTTCAGGCATTTACTTCCCATTTCTGGCACAAAAAAAACACCTCCCATTGGGAAAAATGGATTTGGTTCATTTGCTTAACCACCTCCACAAAAATACAGAAAAATCTGATCCAGTTAAGAAGTGACTCTCTTAATGACCGCATTGACTTATAACTGTAATTCTGGGGTCAATTACATTCATAGGTCAAGGACTAGCTTTCATAAATGAAAGGAAAACAATAACAAAATCAGTAGTGCACATTTTAACATTAGTAAAAATGTTAAGGAAAACAAGACTATCATCTTTAAAAGAGCACAACGCACACACCCATTGACCCTCTAGAGAGAGTGTTTGATGAATAAGGGGACACAGTGGCTCAGTGACTAAGACGCTGAGCTTGTCGATCAGAAAGAAAGTTGGCAGTTTGGCGGTTCGAATCCCTACTGCTGCATGACAGAGTGAGCTCCCATTACTTGTCCCAGCTTCTGCCAACCTAGCAGTTCGAAAGCTTGTAAAAATGCAAGTAGAAAAATAGGAACCACCTTTGGTGGGAAGGTAACAGTGTTACCTGTGCCTTTGGCATTTAG